ACACTGGCACGGCAACGTTGTACAATTCTAGATTTGAAGTTTTCGTAAAGTCATGTAGGTAAAAATGTATTTTATTTTTTACCTACGTGACTTTACCGAAAAAAACAAAGAGTATGAACGTTGTACAAGTGACGCGATAACCCTGGGTTTGGACTGAGCAATACCTGACGATTGCGTCACTCCAGTCAATAAATCCTTGCAAGAGCTCGACTTAACGAAAGCCGCGTCTCTCGTTAAGTCACCCAGATTTCGGGAAGCTAAGCAGGCGTAGAACCTGGTTGATGCGTTGGGTGGGTGACCACCATGGCGCCTACATTCTCACGCTCTAAATTAGCCGGATTTGAAAAATGCCACCGCAAATTATTCAATTGGGACTATACTGTACAGATAAATCATCGCCCCTACTGGCATACTCATGCCCCAGGTCACTCTTGCAAATGCCACTTGTCTTCGTCGCTGCCGGTTAAACAGAAGCAACTTGAAAGTTGAGGTCTTGCCTAGGCGACAGCGAGACTGCGCTACGTGGTGGGCAGTAGAGGGCAGTACATCGACATGCATTGTTGTTACGGGTACTGTGGTGGTGATTCTATGCTTAACACGGAGGCTTTCGCGACCAATATCATCCATGAGTTTTTATTAGATCGCGTAAATATAAATGTGTCTTCTTGGTTCATTCGGTAAAGTCACGTAGAAAGAACCAAGAAGATGAATCCCTGCAGTCACGAAAGCTTTTAATCGAAATATAAATGTGTCGTTAAACCCGTCACCACCCGACACAGCCAATTTATCTGCGCCTATTGTTGTGGTTCTATTCTCTCCCTAAAAGCGATGCTCCTCGTCTTCGCCAATCTGCTCTGGCCAGTGCGGTGAATGAAGTGTGGCCAGTCAACCCCGTCGACCCGCGCGGCATGGAGAACCCCCCTCGTCCGTCGCTGGATGAACACGAGGGCTCTGGCGTGCGCATTCATACAATGCAAATGTTCAAGCGGGGCCAGCATTAATGAACCTTTTGGCGGGACCCCGGGGTCTCATAAACCCCCGGCTCTCGTATAAACTGCGTTGCGACCTCATTTTATGCCCGTTGAAGGCGAACGACACGGCAATCTATTCCTCTCGACGAGCTCCACACGATGAGCTAATCAAAGTTTCGCTTGTTCAGCTCTTCTGCGCAGAATGATCCGCACCAGGTGGGCCACGGCGTTTATGTGCACGGTGGGACGGAGTCGAGAAAAATAAATTAGTTAATTACGATTTTGACTTCCGTTTATTCGGGACCCCGGGGTACCGCCGTAAGTATCATTTGTCGCAAGTCACAAAATTGGTGCCAAGATCCATTTTGTGCAATGTGCATTTGGAGTTTGCGTGTCTCTCTCTCCCCGTGGTCGCGTGGATGTTTTTCCGGGTCCTCCGGTGTCCACCCTCCACATTTAGAATCAACATCACGCGTTTAGAGTATCTTGGTTGCGATCGTCTGTGATTGCCAGGTCGCTTCTGGAATAGCTCAGTGCGCCTTACCTGGTAAAATAAACCAATAATAGTTGAATACAGTCCCAATGTTAACAGTAGCGGCGTGTTAGTTACTTTAAGATGTTTCTTGTTCATGTTTTTGTTTTGTTGCGGTTGCACCCGAGTCAAGAGCCGCGTGGCTCACAGGGTTCTATCTAATAAATCAAACTGAAATAAATGAAACTGAAATATAAAAAAAAATTTAATACCTATCGCCGGTGTCTGCTGGACAAGACAGACTCGATCGTGAACCGCTCGACTACTCACTGTGGGCATTCAGGGGGCCGGTGACGTGCACTTTTTATTTATTTAATCCGGATGCGGGGAACGTGGATCACGAATCGATCGTCGTAAATTTGATTTGTTCGTGTCACTGTTACCGAGTGACAGATCCAAAGTCCCAGACGCCAATCAGCCAGCAACAAACAGCACAGATTAGGTGTGAGCAAGGCTACAATAACTTGGGGAAAAGAGACCGATGGGATGGTGATTCCATCACTGTTACCGAGGGACAGATCCAAAGTCCGAGACGCCAATCAGCCAGCAACAAACAGAACAGCTAAGGTGTGAGCAAGATTACAATAACTTGGGGAAAAGAGACAGATGGGAGGGTGATTCCATTGCCTAGCGGTACGAGGGAATCAGCGAGGCGACCTGCAGTGTGGCGAGTGAGTAAGGAAGTAGTTAGTGGATGAGTGAGTGAGTGGGTGTTTGAGTGAGTGGGTGTTTGAGTGAATGCGGTGTGTTGTTGTGTATAGGAAGCAGTAGTGTAGCGGTTAGCGTGCTGTGCTGCGAACCTGGAAACCCGAGTTCAATTCCCGTTCACAGCCAACACAAGTGACGACTATGTGAGTCGGATCTGGGCCACCGCTAGATCGACTCAGTCTCAAATGAGTACCTGCTACGGTGTGTTAACATCGCCAGTGGGGAGACAAAGGCGGCCGGGCGTGGTGCTTGCCAACCACCCCCTCGTGTGCCGTGCCGGCCTTCATAGTTACTCGCTGACAGCACTTACCCAACAGTCTGTTAAAGGCTTATACGGGGTTATTGTCGTCTTTATCGTATTGTTGTGACCTGCGGTGTGGTGGTTGAACACGGTCCGCCTGGTAGGCCGAGTCATCGGCACGAGTGGACGGATTCAATGAGTTGAAGTTCATTGCTACAGGAGCCATGGTGGGAGAGAGAGAGGAGTGGCCACGCTTTGCGTGAAGAAGCCTCGACTAAGGAGTGACCAGGAGACGATGACGACACAGAGTGGATTAATGAGGCGCTCCGTGCAAAACGCTCCTTAAAAGGGAACTGGGAAAACATCCCCAATGGAGTCATCATCATCGCCACCACCAACCACCACGATCGGTCTTGATCAATCCACAGCTGGATGAAAGCCTCCCCGAGTCGTTGGTTACCATCCGTGTCACTCGCCCACTACTTCGCCACCGCTGTATTAATAACTTCCCATTGGTGTCGTCGTGAACATCGCTCTCTAACACCTGTGCACAGGTGTGTTTACCCAAGCGGCGCGGACAAGTTAAACGATCCTCTACAGACGGGTCGCGACAGACGACGGGCTGACTTACAGAATCACAGTACGTATCGCAAGGCTTTACGCGCATGACTGAGGTTGTTCGAACCACGAACCCCACTACCCCAGACACCGCGAAACAACAACGATTGAACTTGACAAGCCCGGCACAAGAGCTATCGTAGCGATCGCAAGCGTAGTGTCACTTGAGTTGAACTTGATCATACAAGATGCCCAACGCAGAGCGTGTTTAATCGGTGCGTACTGTCACTGCTGCGGTGCGGTTCAGAAATGCGGACATTACCATGTTGAACGAGAACGATACAAATGTCACAGCAGTGGGAAAACACGAGCAAGAAAGATTTGGTTGATGTGCGTATGTTGAACCTCTTTCGCACCGTGTGTAGCCAGCCAGACAGACGCAGAGGGGCACGTGGATCAAGTGAACGCGTGCAGCTCAGTGACATTAAAACTGCTGGGGGACATTGAAGCGGGCATGGTGGGCAGGATTGCCCATAGTCACGAATAATAATACAGCCAAAGAGAGGCCGTGCAACCACTGACAGGATGATGGAGCGATCACATCAGCTCGCGTTCAGGTGGATTACTGCATCGCAGGATAAGCGGCGGATGATGGCGACCGCTTGGGAAGAGCCCTTCATCCAGCAGTGGATTGATAATGGCTGATGATGGCGAAGGTGATGATGCAAGAATGCAAAGCAATTATGCACAATGAATATTATTGCAGGGTAAAAAAAAAATTCGCTTCAAAGTGTGATGCTTATACGAACGTCCACGGGGAAATTCCACATTGCTATGGCACGAAGCAGTTCGTCAATGTACCCATATAACAGTTACTGTTGAATGGCGAGGAGCAGTGGCGTAGTGGTTAGCATGCCTGGTCAGTGCGCACATGAGTGACAAGTGATATTTAACTGGTCATGAGCACCTTCCCCCCGGCACCAACCCGCACTGACCGGCGCGGTGAAGTATAGTCAAACATCCCACGTGACGTTCATCCACCCGGGGGAATTGACAAATGGCTATAAATGGTTAAATGTGCTCATTACTGCTGATCGTTGTATCGAGTCAAGACCAGACCGGGCACTGAACCGGTAAGATAATGAGTTTGATTTTACCATTACAGTTACAGCATTGCCTGTGTACACTTTATGCAAGTATTTACATCCGGGCATATTCTCCATACGCATCAAATAGACGCTTACACGTACTTTTAAAGTGCAATTATTTTCAAGCACATCATCACCCGCCACGGGTCGATACAACGAGCACCACTTTGCAGGAAAGTAAATATCGGTTGCACTACGTATTGTGCAAGTCCCCGGCACAGTAACGTGGAATTCTCGCCATAGGTTCGCGAAACCGACCGCGACACGGACACGCGTGCAACGAGGACATCCACCACCAACATCGTTCATGCGCACGGCGATCCATTTACAGATACCCCCACCGGTGTCTCATGAACACCTCTCATCACTGCCTTCTCGACGCGTGATTTGATCGTTGTCAAAAACGATGGCTCCATATCCACTACAGAGAAGCGAGTGTTAGAAGATGTATTCATTCCTGTGTGAGACGTGAAATAAAAGATAGCGTTGTTTCTCTCCCTTCCAATGAATTTCTCCCTATTATTTACCACGTGTCTGTGTGTGTATACAGGGGTGAATGTGGCCATGCAACCCAAACGATGGTACCCGCATGAGTAAACCAGGAGGAAGAGCAAAACGACACAAACGCTCTCCTAAAGCCCTCTCGTCGTGGCTACAAGCAGCAGACCTCTCGCATTGCCATTCAACTCCGCAACATGTTTCCCAACGCAAGAATAGAATACACACGCAAACAACGACTCGGTCGACTCGAGCTGATCATATGTGTTACAGAGTTGTGCATGCGTATGTGTGGTTAAAAAAAAAACATCTATAGATATATATATAAAAAAAAACGTAATAACCTTGCATTTGCTGGTTGATGTACGCGTGAGAGTTGAGAGTTCCCGCTGCTGCTGCTGCCGCTGCTGATTCTGCGCGTATGGATGGACACAGAACGCTCCGGAAAACGTTTGCACAGCGCTTTAAATAGTGACAGATGACGTCACCCCCCCCCCCCCCCCTGTTCACCCCCCCCCCCCCCCATCCTCTCCCCCCCCAAAAAACACTGTCGCACCATGTCAGAACCATCAGAAACATCACGTTACCCCAAATCCCCCACCCCACCACCACCGCTCTGCTTCCCTCCCCAACCTCCCAGCCTTCCTCCATCACCTCCCCCACCACCCTCCCCCCACCGCTTTCTCTTTCTCGCCGCGACCATCGATCGGCTCTCATCTTGACATCAACAACTGAGCCCCGAGTTCTCATGCTGCGCGCGCGAGCACGTGGCCGGAGACGTACTTGGTGGTCATCGGCTCAGAGTCACATCATCAGAAGTCAAGATCGGTGTCATCTGATCAAAATCTTGATGTATCGTGGAGAAATCCGATGAGCTTCGGCTCAGAAAGTCTCAGCAACAAACAATACAAAATAACGATAGGAGTGCAGAGTATAGGAAAGGTGAGCAAATCACAACAAATACCGACATACCAATAGACAAAGTATATAAGTTCAAATTGCTTAAGTACACCAGTTTCAAAGCTTGGGCAAGGCAGCAAAACAACAGACAAGAACTGTCCCAGACCACACCAAGACAACATCCTTGCCTCAATAAAAACTATCGATACATTGGTAGGGGTGAAAGTTACACATCGCAATTGCAAATGCGGTAGTATCCAGCGCTAAACTTCTGCTTCAGGATATTTTTGAAGAAAGATTTACTATGTTAAGGGAGGAAATAATGATCATCAAGATCGCCATCATCATTATCGTCATCTTCAAAGTAGGATACAATGGTTATCAATGATCATCATCAATAGTTACATATATCATTACATATTAATCATCATCATAATAATCAATAATCAGCATCATAATCACAACTTCAAACATTATTCATCAATATCATCATCTAATATGACTAATAATTAATCCACATCAATCTCATTAATTATCAAGATCATCATCACTTATTGACCGTCATCACCATAATCTTCACGGTTGAAGATGATGACGATAACGATGATAATCCTCAAGCATCATTTTTAGATGATCTTAAGTAAGAAGGCTGCCCTGGCATGCGTTTGGATGTGATACACAAACAACACAACATTAACAACAACAAAATCTCAAGACTTGTCAATAACACCGTGGCCTTTAAATGATAAATGTCACAGGCGAAGTTTGTTTTCGGCAATGTCCCTTCTTCGTAGCAAATATAATTTTGGCTGTCGCCTGATGAGGCTGGTTGTAATTGCCGGCGAAGCGTCGTACTCGAATTGTAACTATTGTGGGTTTACACTCCAACACTGCTGAACTAGAAAAACTAATTATATTTTATTGGTTCTTTCGGTAAAGTCACGTAGAAGGGAAATAATAAAGTAATAAAACATAATAAAATAAACGAATTGGCACGTTTTGTTTACGTGACAAACCTTGCAAATTGGCTGTGTCGGGTGGTGGCGGGTTTAACAACACGTTCACATTTAAACCATCTAACCCAAACCAAAAAAGCCCTCTATTACAGAAAACATATCTACGTATGTGAAGCCAAGCAAAGTTTCATTGGCTTCACTCAAAGCGCCGGTAGGGTCAGGCCAAAGCCAGGAATAAGAATCCGTCGGAGTCGCCTTCCGTGACCCATCCCCCGCGGCTGCAGCACCTTCACTCTCTCCCACTATCTCCGAATTCTCGTCCTACTGCCCACACTCCCGTGTCACCATTAACCTAGCCAATGTCAATTCATTCGACTTCCAGCTACCCTTTGTGACGATGAAACAATCCGTCTGGAATGTGTCCGATCTCGTCGCATCCAGGAAGCTAAGCAGGATGCAAAACCTGGACAATGCTCGGACAGGCGACCACAATGCATACCAGGTTGCTATAGGCTGGACAGCAGAGGGCAGCACAGCAAACTCCGTAGCGACACTCCACTGCTCTGCGCCCACGTCTCCGCTGCCCGTCTTCACCAACCCGCGTAGACCAGCGTGGTGAAGTATGGCCAAACCAAACCCCACGACCCACACGGCATGGGGAGGCTGTAATCCGTGAGTGGATAATTGGCAAAAAAAATACCGCACATTCGCATGATGTAAGTTGCACCTTTAAAGCAGCAGCAGCAGCAGCACATAGTTAATTGTGACTATTAAAAAAAACTGATCAAACCTCAAAAACAACTTGACCCTCGCATCGTAGACACATCCTCGTCTCCTGCCTGACCTTGGTTAGAGGGGGGCGGGGGTAAGGAGGGTGCACGTCGCAATGTTAAACAAACTCGAAACAAACGTCAGCTGATGAACACACCGAGTAGCGGCGCGTGTGTCCACCGTGAGTTCTACTCGCGCGCTCACCCCTCGTGTGTGCGGCGCCTGTTGTGTTGCGGACAGAGCTGTCCCTTGGGTAGACGGCGAATCGGGGCGACCGCCCCGGGCCCCGCACCCCCCCCCCCCACCTATGGACGGCTCTGGTGATGGGGAGACGCTGCAGTGATTCCCGGCGCTTAATTCCCACTCAAATGTGCATTCTGTCCAGCTGCCTCCGACTGACGCAGACAGTTTGTGTCGTACCATCATTGTCATCACCACACGAAACGTGCAAATTGAAAGTAGGATCAGTTTAACAAGTAGGCTCTTTCTACTGTAGATCAGTTAGTCTGTGTGTGGGGCGGGGAGCGGTGGTGTAACGGTTAGCGCGCTGCGCTACGAACCCGGCGACCCGATTTCGATTCCCGCTCACGCCCACCAACGCCAGTGAGATTTTCTGAGCCGGTCCTGGGCCTTCCCTAGATCGACTCAGCCGCAAATGAGCGCCTGGTGCAGCGTGTAAATTTCGCTACTCGGGAGACAAAGGCGGCCGGGCGCGGTGCTGGCCACCCACCCCCTCGTGTGCCGTGCCGGCCTTCATAGGGGTTCGCTAACTGCACTTGTCCCAAAAGTTTTGTAAGGCTATACGGGGTATCTTTGGAGTCATTGCATCGTGTGTAAAATTGTACCAACCTTTTGACATTTACTAAAACGATTTCAAAGTGGGTTAGGGTAGGAGGGAGCGGAATCTGCCTTTGACATGCGATGCTAAGCCCCCTCTCCCGTCCTTTCGATGCCACCTCAGGGGTTGATGATCAATACCAGAGGAGTTGCTCTGGGTCTTGGGACTCACTCACGTCCGCTCACTGTGCTCATAGCTACGTACGATGCGAAAGAAGTTCAACATGTATACATACATGTTGAACACGACGTGTGGCCGAGGATGGCTCCCACACAGTGGGGGGTGCCTATGCAAACAAAACTTGAGATATGGAGTCACCTGCAGGAAGCCGGCGCCTGGCGTGTTTGACCGCTTCTATGGTTACGGGGAAAACATCACAGAAGTGGCCCAAAGACCCCGATGTTCAGCAAAGCCGTGGCACGGAGCAAAGCCGTGGCACGGAGCAAAGCCGTGGCACGGAGCAAAGCCGTGGCACGGAGCAAAGCCGTGGCACGGCGGAGCGGTGGTGGCGCGCGTGTTCACAGCGTCCAGGGGGTTCGAGTCGAGCGGTCGCCCTGGTTAATACTGCGGATGGATTCAGCAAAAAACACAAATATATATATAACCTAGGCGACCGTCTTATTGACGGCAGACGTTAAAGATATCGGTGGCGTTATTCGCTCTCGGAAAGGAGAAGGCTCCGGCGGGTGCCGCTGTTACAAAATTTGCCGCGTTTGAAAGAAAATAAAAGTTACCCATTTCATTGGGCACGACCACATTTCGATCTTAATCCCCCCCCCCCGTGGACAGAGCACCTCGATGAGATTGTGCCACGAGGCGCGACTACCAAACGTGTTCAATATTTTGATTCGGTTTTTTTCTTCCAAGGCTCTGCAATGCTCCCCGTGATTATTCCCCGGGATCATTGTTGGAGCTTGCGAACCACGTGGGTGCTACTTAATGAGAACCCATCAGCAGAGCGTGCCCTGCCAAACGCCACTGGCTTGCCTAATGCGATGAGAACTTACGAGATAAAACACTTGTCCTGCATTTCGCTGTTAAAAAAAAATGATGTTGGAAAAAAAAACCCCTTATTTGGTTCCGAATGCCGGCAGATGGGACGAACAAACAAATTCTGTGCTTAATAGTTTTTTGGATGTGCGACCACCGTTCGTAGGACAAGCGTTGCCGCCTCTTGTGGGGGACTCCGTTGTCAGCAGAGAGCAGTGCAGCAAAGACAAAAGCACCTACCGCTGTACCGCCCGATGCGCCCTGCATTTACCAACCCCGCACTGCCAGCGTCAAGTGCGGCCAATTCACCTGCCCCCCGTTCCGTGCGTCGTGGGTGAGGCCCTCGCTCAACACCGGTGCACTTCGTTCCGTACGAGCACCCAAAAAACCCCTTCCAGGAATTAACAGATGTCGAGCGGCGCGCTTTGCTGAGAACGATTCGACTCCAATTCGCGTGGGGGAAGGTCGCGCGTTTCACGTCGCGGCTGGGAATCGACTCAGCCCATTGTCATCATCATCATCGCCGTCGTCATTCCACCGTGACCTGATCATCCCCACGTGGTGGAGAGTCAGCATTGGTCGTTTAAAGAACAGACTTGCCCCTGCCATGGTAACGAGGAGTCTCCACAATTGGTTCAGGGCCACCGAAGTAAGATGAATACCGTCACTCGTTCGTGTAAAGAGCGGAGAACACAAATACCTCTCACCCCCCCACCCCCAAGCCCGTAACAGACTCTTGGGGCAAGTGCTGTTAGCGAGCACTTATGCGAGGCCGACACGGCACACGAGGCAATTGCTTGGTCACACACAGTACACGCGGCGGACATTCTGTCAATACGCTGCTGGCTTGACTTGGAGCCTCTCAATGCCGTGGGGGTCATGGGCAGGGCCGTCCTTAGAGGGGGGTGCGGGACCCGGGGCAAGTCGCGCCGTGTGGCACCCCCTACGCCTTCAACCTAAAACGGAAGTGTTACCTCTGACGCGGCGATGTCGAAGCGCACGGCCCCCCAAAGCG